ACTCTGGTTAGTTGAGTATCTTCAACTCTGAAGTAGCTGAAATTTTGTTAAGTGATGGATGTATATTTCTTCATTGCAGAATATGAAGCCAGCTTAGAAGATCACATAACATCAGACACATCTGGTTTTTACCAAAGGATGCTGGTAGTTCTTCTTCAGGTAAACTTGTACTGCATGAAACTGAAATAATAAGCAAGTGTTACTTTAGTCAATGCAGTTTACTGAAGGCTGTATGTCGTGTGAAGTGGCCCTGAGCATTCTAAAGCAGGGAGAAAAAGGAGATATAAACCTTTGGCTGAGGAACGTAACTATTTGTGATTTCTTGAGAGCAGTAAATATGGAAAAGGTTTTGCACATTGGGTGAGAATATGTGCTGCAGAGATTTATTCCAATCTCAAGCCCTGTTTTATCCTTCTTACTCCATTTTCATCTGCTCCTTGGAGCCTTTATTTCAGTATGCTAGATCGGCAGTGAATGGTATTACTTCAAGATCTACATCATTTGAATAGATGTTCCATGTTTTCACTGATGTTGACTTAAGGGTCTTTAGTGGACCTGCTTGAACAAAACATCCACACTCAAAATGCATGTGGTACTTGTGCATGGTTTGATTCCCTCTAGTACCCATTCACGTATTGGAAGCATTCATCCTATGCTGCACGGAGTGCAGGAAAAACAGTATGGAATGCAGGAAAGATGGAGTGCAGGAAAGACAGTATGGGTACGGAGTGCAGGAAATACACGGAATGTAGGAAAGACAGTATGGATACAAAATGCTCTTTGCCTCATCATGCCTCTTTTAGTGGCATTGACTAAAGTATACTAAAGTATAGCCACAATTTTGTTTCTTACGTTTACTAGTGCCTTCTTACCTTTGCCTTTTCTCCCATTTTAGGCTGGTAGAGATCCTGATGGCCCAATTAATGAGAGCTTAGTTGAGCAGGATGCTCAGGTAGGTGAAGATTTCCTTTGTCTCACTACTGAAATGTGTTTTAAGTACTATATTTAATAAAAAGTGCAAGTGGGATTCCCTTGAGGGAACAATTCTGTTATGGAAATACTTGGTGGTGGTGAAATTATGAGTGTTCCATGAACCTTGGAGATTAACAGTTGTGTTTATTATTTTATTGTACTTTAATTAGTGGAATATTCAAATCTAGGCTAATAGATGAGCATTGCTAGTGGGCAGTTGGGTGGATTGTTAAGAATAATGTTAGAGGGAAGGTTATTACAGGATCATACCTGGTCTTAATACACATAGTAGAGATGTATTCTTCCTTGCTCTGAATCTGGTCTTGCTCAAGTGAACCTTGTCAAGGCTTGGCTGTGTTCCATGTTGATTTACAGCCAACTCAACAGTTCCACATAGCAGAGCAGCCGTCTGGAGTTTTCAAAGGTTCTGGCGTGATCTCTGTCAACCTTCCTTTCATTGTTGCTGTTCATTGACAACAGTAAAGAATCCAGCTGGTATTTTAAACTTTTCACTTCACTTATCTTGAATTGGAAAAAAAGAGAGGAAAGTTCAGGTGAGCCTGGGCTGTGGGAAGGTTGTGCAATATATCTGAGCTCTTGTCGAGGGCTCGGTTTTATCCCGACTTGGGTTGTGAGATGATGTCAATGGCTCCCGACATTTTCACAATAACCCCATGAGGTAGATTAGGCTGAAGGATGGTGATGGACCGTTGATTTGATTTTTATCCCGTCCTCCCTGCCAAGGCAGGCTCAGGGCGGCTTACAATAAAAAATATATATTAAAACACACGTGCTTATACAATACAGCATCATAAAGTACAAAGCATACCGAATCACAGTACAAAATAGAATAAAGTGCTGGTGGCGGTAGCGTCCCGGTGACCATAATAAGATGGTCCAAAGTATTTGATTCCTGGTTTCCAGATTTTTGTCCACATTTATCCAGTACACTGTTCTGGCCCATGTCAGTGTCCCAGTAATTCTGTTGTTCTAATAAGGATGACTCATAAGAAGGTAGAGTTTTAAACAGGGCCACAGCCAGGATTTTTCGTTTTGTGGAGCAATTTGTTTTTTGTGGGGTATCCATTATGCTTGTACTTAATCAATCACTGGAGATTTTGAGAGTGGAGCCTGAGAAGCATGGGGTTTGGGGAGGGTCTTTAATGGGATATAATGTCATAGAGTCAACTTGGAGAGCATAGGTGTAATGCCAGAGGATCTCCAGCCACCACCTGGAGATTGGCAACCCCAGGAGAGTGTGATTGGCTTCCCTCCCCCACCATGCCCCCTCTCTCTCCCTCCCTCCCTCTCCCTCCCTCTCCCTCCCTCTCCCTCTCTCCCTCTCTCCCCCCTTTCCCAGCAGCACCCAGGCTGGGGAAGGAAAGAAAAGTTGCTGTGCCCCTTCTGGTCAGTTTCACTCCCTTTCTTTCAGCTGTTATACAGACAAGGCTGCTTCCCTTTCTTCCCCCAGCCTCACCGCATCTGTGGGACTAGGCACACTAGGGGTGGGGTGTCTGGCATCAGGTGGTGGGCTGGGCTTGTGGGTGATGAGGCTTTGCCCCCAAATGTCCTACCGTGGCTATGGGCCTGGTGTTAAAACCTCTGCCATCGTCTTACTTTAATATAACTGTATTACAGAATTTGCTACCACATGTGACTGTCTTAAGACTCCTCTAGGGAAACAGATGTTTTTGATGAATAACATTTTCCATGGTTCTGCCTTCTTCCCTTTGAGCTGCTCTACAAACAGGAAAAGGGAGGGGTAGGAACAGACTAACCACTTAGGTCATTTTAGATCAGACTGCCTTTGTGGTTAATTATAGTAATCTTTTTTCAACGGAGAATGGCTTCGTCAA